GACCTAAAACATCTAGGGCAATAAAACTGACCTCTAAGCAGTTTAACTACTTCGAATGGAGGTTGAACTCGTGACGCTTTTTTCGTGTACCGATTAGCACTTTGTGCTTTTTAGGACCTCTTTCATGACGAGGAATTCGTACGAATGGTTTATTTGGCCAATGATGTGATCCAGGGTCTCACCTAGTAAGGGAGGGGGTTGTACTGCGGCAATTGCTTCCGCCAGCAAAAATACGAGGAGACTGAATCCCCGGGGTGAACTGTTTTGCTTCCGCTATCACACCCACCCTTGAGCTTACTCTCCCTGCAAAGTACTGGCTACCTTATGCGATGTGGACTGTAGCACCTTATGTATTTAATTCTTCATGACGTCTTACTTCTTTACGTCTTCTTCTCTGACCTCTCCAAGACGAATGAATTCGTTGTGAAATAGGCTCAGCTTCATTATTATTCTTGTTACGTATGTTTGTGTCCACCTCGCCGACAATTAAATAATTTTTATAGGGTAGTAAAAAATTAATTCCGAGCCTTTATGGGCTGTTTCTCCTTGCGCTACGCTATTGGTTTTCTATCTTTTTCCCATTTTTCAATTTTCCCCAGTCAATCCAGTTTTCTGTCAGATTTTCGGAGGTCCCCTTCTCAAATTGCATATTTGAGTAGTTAGATGTGATCCAGGGTCTCATGCAGTAAGAGGCGCATGTGTTGCGTCAGTTGCGGCCGTTTACAGAATTTTTTTGGAAGAGAAATAAGTCCCCAGCGCGCGTTGATCATTTTGCTTCCCGCTTCACATCCCCCTGGAGGTTTCTCCCCCGTGAAAAACTAGATTACTTTATGCGATATGGACTGCGGCGACACATGCCTTTACTGCATGGGGCCCCTGATCTGTTATGACCTAAAAAACGACAACGAGTTGTGAAAAGATTGGTTAGGCTTCTTGGTTCAAGCCATTGGCAGTGACGCAGGTGTCAGGTTTGACGACCATCGCGCGAATCGCCAGCAAAACGCACGATGGTCGCAAAGTGCACCTGCCTGGGGCCGTAAGGTATGCTTCCCCGAATGCTTGCGGGGACGAAAGTCCCTTTAAATTTTTTGTTTTGAACGATACTGTTTCTTTATTTTCAATGCATGTTTACTTTAAGCTACACACATATATTAAATGTAGGCCCTTTATCAGGACAATCCCAGTTGGGACTACAGAGAAAATTTAAAGGAACTTTCGTCCCCTAACCCTTCGGGGAAGCATACCTTACGGCCCCTGAAGGTCGCTCTAGACGTTAGTCACTTCAAACCCTATAGCGGCATATATGTTGAGTACTAGTTTTAACCTCATCGTGAATTTATTTTTAGTCGTACGTTTCCCCGTAGGGTTGTTTTGTCGTCGATGCAGCCATTCAGTTTTACACCAATCGTACGATATTAAAGTCTTCAGGGTCGTGAAATAGTTGTCATAATAGGCTTGCTTAAGCGTAGTAGGATGTTTACAAGCCCTAATGAGTCTTTAAAAGCAGTTATGGAAGGATTACTTCATTCATAGTAATGGGTATGGATTTAATGGCTCACGCGGTTTTAGTTTCTTTTCCTTGTTCAAGAGCTTACTCTCTCCGGTATTACCTTTAGACGGCCTTATTCTTCGTTAGCACTTCAATCGCGGCGATCGCTGGGAATCGATACATATCTTTTTCACGAAATTTCGCGAGATCGCAAACTATGACCGCAGATTTAGCCTTTTTTATGACGCAGTTAGTCGCTACATTATTAGAGCAGCTTTTAGCGCTATCGGCAAGATAGCTGGTGGCATATACGTGGCAACGATCTGGAACGCGTAAAAACTATAAAACTTTCAATTGGAAAATTGAATCTTTTTCCCGGAGTTTCTGTCCAATCCTAAGCTTAATCTTGGAGGATGCTCCCATATCTTGCGATAGCGCCCAGCTTTTCCGAACCTCAGAACAAAACTCGTTTAATTATGTTTATTTACAATAAAATTAATTACTTTCATAGCATATAGTAAATCCATATTACAAATGTATACGGTAGGTTGTCCGTGGAAAACCAATTCAAATTAAAAGTCTTTGATAGCTATGTGCAATGACGAGTGAACTGATTTCTAAACGATACTGAAAATGATGAGGCACGACGAGAAGAAGCTATAATGTCACTATTAAGTATGCGCATATACAAGCGAGACTGCAAAGCAGGACTTTGTACTGCTTTCTCCTATAGATATTCCATTTTCGAGCTTACTAAGTTGTGGAGGAGTAATGGTAAAGTAAGAAGCACTAGAAATCGTGAAATGTTCTTAGTGGACCTCTAGCGGCTGATTGTTACGGTATAAATAATGTAGTACTGAAAATTAGAAAGAAGGTTAGAAACGGACGTCATTTCCGAGAATTCTATTACCCATTTCGTTCATATCGTTGAGCTTTATGATTGGCAAAAAAATCAAATGAAAAGACAAAAAAAGATGAAGGAAAGGTGGTAATGATGGTGATGAGAGAATGAGAATGAATGAATGAATGAATGAATGAATGCATCCTAGAACAAATGGAATCACATGAACCCACACACACACACACACACACCTGGGTAGAGACCCACAAATTCACACCACACACGACATTACCGCTAGCTGTCCGGTGGTACAGGTGTGAGTTCTTCTCGTAATCGTTCGTAGACATAGCCGTCGATATCTGCGTCACTTCGTTTCAGCGGTTCATCGTCGACGTCATCATCGTCATCAGATTCACTGTCACCAACCACATGTCGTGGTTCAGTTCTGTCCAGTCCTGCCGCGGGTTTCACATTAGGCCAATCGTCACCGTGAATCGTCATATCCTCATCGTCACTTAACTTGTAGTAAACGTCCACTTCACCGTCACTGCTCGACCATCGCCCAAGCTGCTCCCGTCGGTCAATTTCGTCCTCCTCACGACCAAGGTTCTGTAGTAACAGATTATAGTTGTTGTTCTTCTCCATATCCAATGGCCCATCTTCTTCACGCAGGTCCAATACCTCGTCCCCAACACGGCTACCACGTCGCGATTTCGGTCGATCCGTTGGGCTATCTTCGTCATTTCCAAGTAAGGTGGTCGGGGCAGCAAAATTTGGCGAGTCATCAGATGTTATTGGTGAATCTAGAGAAAGCGACGGAACAAGCACAAGAGCAGGCACTTCAGGATCACTGGGAGGCGAACGATTTGCTAGTTTGACGGGAGGTGATTGTTTTTCCGGTGAAGTTGAAGGACGACGTTTTTCTACCGTTTCCTCTGCTGTCACTTCTGCAGGTGGCTCATTTTCGTCGATGACTTCTTCACGAGGAGGAGTGGATTTCACGGAATGCACGGGCTCGATGTCAAGTGCAGCTTGTGAATCGAATGTGGGCTCGCGAGGTAATTGTGATGGATCGCACATGAACATAAAACGAGCCTGACGTTCGGTAAGCACATGTGGTTCGTCTTGATGATAGTTGTCAACGCATTCATCGATTTCTTTATAGTTGGTCGGGATGGCGTTCTTTTCGGTGCCGGTCATTTTCAGAACAGCTCCGTTTTTCGATGGTTTTCGTTGGCAGGATCCGTAGTTGGGCACAGTGGTGGCGTTAGCGAGCCTGTTCGGGTCTTGGCTGGCTTTCCGTTCTCGCTTACGCCGTCGGGCATCTCTGAAAAAAGTGACTTTATGGAATCAGTATAGACAGTTTCCGAGAAAAATCTGCAGGAAAACAAAGCAGTTCTCGTTTTTCTTAGAAAATTGTTGACTAGTTCCGATTTGGTGCAACCTTCAGCGACATTCTCGAACCTTTAGAAGTGATTTTTTCACAATAATAGGATCGTTATTTGCTGACCCAGCGCTGTCTCAAATTGACTTACAGACTCAAATCAAGGAGAGCTGGTGCCTGCGTAATCGAGGGAGACATTATTATACAGAGAGCCCACATATCACACCAATTTCCTCCTCACAGCTTTCTCTTAGGACTAACCCTTAAGGGGATTAGGAGAGAGGTGTAATCAATGTGTCAATGTTTTTCCAAAAAAGTTCATCCCTTCCTCCTAGGCCCAGTCTGCGCAACGATGCCCCTCCCAATTACATTAGCGCCGGAAAAGGCTTGAAGTTAGCCCCGATAAATATCCTCCCCCTATCCTCGGTCCTAAAAACCAGCAAACAGAATTCTTCCGCGATAGTATCGTTATAGAGATCGGCAAGGCAAATCGAAACTGGAGTAAAGAACCTAATGGTTATTGGAATCTGTGCTTGCTTGACAGCCCTATTGTTTGGGAAGGTCGCAATTTTTACTGCTTCTTGGAACGCCATGTAGCAAGCAGCCACTAGTTTTAATACTTACCAGGGAAGGCATTCAAATTTCTCATGGAACTATGAATTGAGTCTCAGATAAATCGATAGAGCTCCAAATCGCTGATTACAAATATGGAAACTGAAACTGCAAAATGAACCTGGCCAAGGAAGTTTTGGGCAGTCAAAGTTGGTTAAGTAAAGCGGTGTCGATTATGAGCGTGCGAAACACCAGTATGACCCATGAAGCAAATCCTCAGGTGTCCGCATGAGAGGGCTTGCGCACCTGAGAATCAGTAGTTTCTCTTTCAAGATTCAAGTGGCAAATTTCCGCACACACACAAATATACTACTACCACTGCTTCGGAGTTTCGGAAGCCTCGGAAGCTAGCACGGTTCATATGTAACGCTTTACTTCCAGCCAACTTTGACTGCTCACAACTTCCTTGGCAGGTTCATTTTGCAGTTTTAGTTTCCATATTTGTAATCAGCGTTTGAAGCTCTATCGATATATCTGGGTCTCAACTCAAAGTTCCATGGGAAGTTGAATGCCTTTCCTGGTTAGGGCGAGACAGCTCTTCTGAGAAAGCGTAGCCCTTCTATTTTATTAGTTTCCAAATATAACCCTGATGGATTTTTCTATAAATGGGTTTAGTAATGAAAACTTAGTATGGAAAGCTGTAATTAAAGTAATGAGGTTAGGCATTCCAGTCACGCTAAGTAATGGTAATTATTCGAGTATTACGTTGATATAAATACCTGTGGTTGTTGTCTGAAGTGTTGGAATAACTTCCGATGATGTTGGTGGATTTGTTGAGGTGAGCGTGTAACTCATGGACACACGACGATCACAATTGAAAAACCTCAAACCACAACACAATAAATGCATGCAGCACCGCACAGCGTACACACAACACAACGTAATTGTCGCCTCAATTTCCGTTTTCGGCGTGCACTTTGGAAAAACGATAGCCGAGGAAGTGGAAATGGTATTGGTGACGGAAATCGCGAGGAAAAAACATTTCCATATAACATTCCTCGGCCAGGGCTTGTTTATCCATGGAAAGCTATATGGAAATTTCCGTCATGTTTGATTCACGTGATCTCAAGTGCCATAACACAGAAAACAATGAAACAGAGCAATTTGATCCTTCTATCTTGAAAGAACACCCCCCTTAATAGCAGAATGTGTACCCTGTTATTTTCTTCAGGAACCAGCTTGCACGTAAATGGTGAAAGACACACAAACACAAAAACACAACGTCTAATTGTGTGAGCGATTCGTTTTTCCCCCGCGGGCGGGTTTGCCCCGTATCCCTTGCTAGCCAATCGTTATGCCATTTTCCGTTTGCCTTGTGGGCTGTCATCGTTCATAGTGAGCAGTGAGAGGCATATCCTAGGCCTAGGCATATCCATGGCCTTGGCATATCCTAGGCTCTCAGAGGCATGGATACGTTATTGATTAAGTTGAGAGGAAAGGATGATTGTGAGGATGCACACGAGTTAATCTTAAGTAGTAGAAAAACACAAGCCAGACTGATAGAATCGATTTCGAGAGCCGCAGCTAATCTTCTGGGAAACGTACTTGTTGAGGGGCTAGTTGAGCGCCTAGCTACCTCTTTTTC